ACTCACACACACACACACACTCTCACACACACACACACACACACACACAGACTCTTTAACACACACGCACACACATTCACCTAAGTGCGAGTTCATGTGTAACGTGTGTGTGTGTGTGTGTGTGTGTGTGTGTGTGTGTGTGTGTGTGTGTGTGTGTGCAGGTAAGTCGGGTCCGGAGTGTAAGCACTGTAAAGCGGATCCGGATGCTGAGTGCCGTTTCTGCTCGTGTTGTGTGTGTGGAGGGAAGCAGGACGCTCACATGCAGCTGCTGTGCGACGAGTGTAACATGGCCTTCCACATCTACTGCCTGACCCCGCCGCTGACCTCCATCCCCGAGGACGAGGACTGGTGAGGCGCGCTTCACACTGCACTCAGGGATGCACACAATGTTCGGCAACCCTAATTATTCGGCCGAATATAGCAAAAAAGCTCTGAATAAGTGAATAGACCGAATAAATTGTACTGAATAATGACGCGACGCATTACTCATCAGATGCTCAGTCACATTTTTATGAATTTTTACAAGGCATGTGACAATGCAATACGTGCGACAAACATCTTCCCAAATTCTTAGTGAGAATCATTTATAAACCTGCTGTTGTCAGCAAAAAGAAACACTGAGGTCTTCCTTTCTGCGGATTTCTGTCAAAATAAAAGCTGAGAAAAAAGCAAGAACTCCTTCAACATTCATAAATGACAGTATTGTAATTTTACTGTTCTGTGAAATAAAATAAAATAAAAAAGTAAGACGATAATAATGATAATAATAATTACAACAGCTCTATTAATACATTATAATATTCACACAGTGTTCAAATTGGGATCTGTTATATTTTTTAATGTTTTAAAAGAAGTCTCTTCTGCTCAGGAAGGCTGCATTTATTTGTACAGTAAAAATACATGCCTGATTCAAGAAGCGGGTCTCAAAAATGGCCAAAAAATATTATTTTACCAACTTATTAATTTTAAGTTAAATTGTGCTTTGTTGGTATAATGTCTGCTAGAATGTTAAAGTGTTTCATGTTGTTCGGCTTCGGCCAAGAATTTTCATTTCGGTGCATCCAGCTCTTTTTTCATCTGCTTACACACACAATCTTTCCTTGTCACAGTTTCTGAAAGCTGACACTCAAACAGCAGAAACACACACCAAATCTGCAAAACCATTCACTAATACTCAGCCTTTCAATTTCATAAAACACTTTTTGCAAAACACAACACACAATTCTCTGTGTAACACACACAAATCTAACAGGAATTAATATTATGGCAAAGGTGTTTGCTTTTGAGACGTGTTTGTGATATTTTGAACGCAGTGCTTCATTTTGTAAGAGATGTGAGGCTACGCACGCACACACACGCTCACGCACACACACACACACACACACACACACACACAAATGCGTGCACACACACACACACACACAAATGCGTGCACACGCACACAGACACACGCACACACACACGCACACACACACTCACGCGCGCACACACACACACACAGATCATGTACGTGTGTGTGTGTGTGTGTGTTTGTGCGAGTTTGTGTGTCTGTATGTTTGTGCGTGTGTGTGTGAGTGTGTGTGTGTGCTTTAGCAGCCTGTTGAATGGAGGGTGATGGTTTTGTGAAGCGTGTCTTCATTAATAACGGCTGTAAAACTCAAAGAACATGAGCTTCATCTGCAGATCAAAGGCCTGTTTGTGTAAAAGCACTCTAGACGCTCATTTACTCAAAGAGAACGCAGCTGAAGGCCAGAGTCCCGCTGAGCAGCGTTTACGAGCGCTGAGGCATTGTGGGAAAGCAGGTACGAGTGTGAGCGGACACACATGACGCTCCAAACGACTGTATAATTCACCAAACGACTTCACTAATGTAACGACAGGAGGAATATTAAGACACGAGAGAGACTGTAATTGTGATGAAACAAACACTCATCTCTCAATGAATGTAAATGCTCAGGAACGAGTTTTACCGGAGTGTTTATACTATTCGGTTACATGATCGTAGTTTTTAAAAAATTGACATTTTTATAATTTAATGCATTTTTAGTAAGTGTTTTATTTAGCTGTATTTTGATTTGACATTTTTTATTATTTAATTATTAGCTTTTCATCATGTGAACACACATTACGGACTTTTATTTATGTATTATGTATTATAAAGTTAATTATAACTACAGACTAAAGCAAACCCTATTAAATACACACATATACTCGTTTATCTTACAAAACTTGCCAATTAAGAGGTTAAATATTGAGTTTTTATTTTAATATAATTTTACTAATTTAGTTGTTTTTGACATTTAGTTTATTTCATTTTAGTTTTGATTTATTTTAATTTTAGCTTTAGTAATTTTAGTTTTTAAAACATTTTAGTTTAATTTTCAGTCAAGTATTTGTTTTATTTATTTTTTGTTTTATTTCACACACACACACACACACATGCGCACACACACACACACACACAGACACACACACGTGCGCACACACACACTCTTTCTCTCAGACACACGCGCACACACACACGCGCGCACGCACACACACACATGCTCACACACACACTCTCACTCTCTCTCTCTCTCACACACACAGACACACACACGCACACACACACTCACTCTCTCTCACACACACAGACACACACGCGCACACGCACACACGCACACACACACACACACTCTCTCTCTCTCACACACACACACACACACACTCACTCACTCACACACACACACTCGCTCTCACACACGCACACACACACACACTCACACTCTCTCTCTCACACAC